ATTTTATCTACAGTATTCTTCTTATCCAACAGTTTAATAACCCTGTCAAAAACGGAAATAAGGTCAGTCTGACATGATCTATTCTTTTTTTGGGGGGGGGGGCTAGGCAATGGGGTTAAGTGACTTGCCCAGGGTCACACAGCTAGTAAGAGTTGTATCTGAGGCCAGATTTGAATTCAGGTCCTTCTGACTCCAGGGCCAGTGCTCTATCCACTGTGCCACCTAGCTCCCCCTGGCATGATCTATTCTTGATGAAGCTGTCCTGACTTGTAAGTGCCACTACCTTTTCTAACTGACACACAGTAGGTGCTATAGGAATGCATGTTCTCTTCCCTTCCCTAAATGATCACTAACCATTTCTTTAAGAATGTTCTAGAATTTCCCCAGGGTTACCAATTTTCCCAGTCAAGCACACTGGCATTTTTTTGCATACTCTGTTCTCTTCCTTCAAAAAACAGAACTAAACAAAACAAAAAAACCAAAACAGGGACATTTGCCCTCCAACTTTGTGGTAACTGCCCCACTTTCCAAAGGTGTGGAGGTAGGATATTCAATGTAATATATGGGGAATAACAATTGGCCTGCTTGGCTGGAGTTCAAAATACATGAGGAGGATTCATGTGTAATCCTCCTGGGAAAATAGGCTAGAATCAAATCATGAAGGGCTTTAAATGCCAACAAGGGAGATTTGTATTTTAAATTAGAGGCAATAAGGAGACACAAAAGCTTCTTGAGCTAGCATGACATGGCCAAACCTGGGCTTTATTCATGTCAGTTCATCAGTTGTGTGGAGAATGGATTGGAGAGGTTAGAGGCTGGATTTAGGTAAAGGGAAAAGAAAACTAGGAGGCTTTTTCAATAGTCCCAGGAAGGGGTGATGAAGGTCTGGACTAAGATTTGAGTGAAGAGAAGGGGACAGATAGAAGAAGTATTATGGTAATAAAACCCACAGGACTTAGAAACTTGTTACTCTTATGGGGTAAGTGAGCATGTAAAGGATGATTCCTAGGTTACAAACTCGGGTGACTGGAAGAATCATGATTCCCTCAAAAGAAATAAGGAGGAAGAGTGGGTTTAGGGAGTGAAACATAATATATTTAGTTTTAGACATATTAAATTTGAGACACCTATAGGACATCCAGGTGAAGATAATCCAATAGGCAGTTGAAGATGCCTGAATTTAGCCTAGTGTTCAGGAGAGAGAATAAGGACTACATATTAGGTTTGGGAATCATCTGAATAGAACTGACAGTTGAATCCAGAGGAGTTGATGAGATCTTAAAGAGACCAAGGACAGAACTCTTGGAGATATGACACGCTACACATGGGAGGTAAGACATGAATCCTTCTAAGGAGACTGAGAAGATGGCTATGCTTGGGCAGGATGAAGTCAAAGGAAACTCTAGTGGAGTCCATTTTAGTTCTAACATGCAAATCAGTCATCCAACCTGGGCAAAGTGTTGGAAAATCTAATTGAATTATGGTGTTCTCACTTCCTGCTGAGTTTCCTGGGTGCCCAACTGTGAGCCAAGACCTTGTGGCAGGTGATAGAAGAAATAGGAGAGTGTGAGGAAGTTGCCTTTTTATCTGGTAAAGAGAATGACTGGCAGCATTTGGGATCTAAACAATCTTAATCTATTTTCAAACTTGAAATGGGCAAGAAGCCCAGAGTACTAGTATAGAGCTAGGTGTGGAATGAGAAGGCCATTGGAGCCACTTTTTGGAAGGCAGAAAATAGTAACAGTGCAGCATCACACAAACCTACTGTTGACTACACCTCATTCAAGACATTCTCTCCTCCTTGGAAAAAATATCTCAGTGGTGTAGTCAACACTGCTTAAACCTTCACAGGTCAGCAGGGATAAGAACTAAGACAAGGCTCCTGAATTTACCAATAAAGAGATCATTGGGCTACATGGAAAAGCATAAATTCCAGCAATAAGGAGGTTATTATCCTTCTACTCTGCCCTGATTACATCACATCTGACTTGTGTTCAATTTTGGGTGTCACTGTTTAAGAAGGTGCTGAGAAGCTAGAGAACAGCATGATTCTTCCAGTCACCCAAGTTTGTAACCTAGGAATCATCCTTTATATGTTCACTTAACCCATAAGAGTAACACGTTTCTAAGTCCTGTGGGTTTTATTACTATAATACTTCTACTATCTATCCCCTTCTCTTCACTCAAACCTTAGTCCAGATCTTCATCACCCCTTCCCGGGACTATTGAAAAATCCAGAACTATGAAAGGCCTTGAGCCCATGTCATATGATCATCAGTTGAAGGAAGTGGGAATGTTTAGCCTGTAGAAGACAAAGCTCATGGGCTTTCCCCTCCATATCTTCCCAAAAGGATATTTCACAGTTTCCTTTAGCAGACTGCTTCGGGGTCTCAATACTTAACCATGATAAAATTATTGTTAATGCCTAACCTGTGTGCCTCCATTATTAAATCCATTTTTTTCTAAATGTGCTTGTACTAATAATCTCTCATCTCTAAAGTATACTCTTTCATCTCTTTCAACTGTTTTTCATGACTGTACATATACATATCTCCTAGTGCTTAGCATAATGCCTGGCACATAGTAGGCACTTAAAAATACTAACTGATTGATTTATTCTCTTTTTTTGCAAGGCAATTGGGGTTAAGTGACTTGCCTAGGGTCACACAGCTAGTAAGTGTTAAGTATCTGGTCTGAGACTGGATTTGAACTCAGGTCCTCCTAACTCCAGGGCCAGTGCTCTACCCACCGTGACACCAAGCTGCCCCTTGACTTACTCTTAATTAGTCTTAGAGGTTAACCAATATCTCTGTTAGGCCTGGCATACTACAAGGAAGACAGAATAGCTTTCCTTATTTACTGTATAAACCCCATAAACATAGCTTAGCGTGTGCCCATTGCACAAGAAATAGATTGCCATCAGAAACTAAAGTATGTCAAGAGACAGTGATGCAAATAAACAGAGGGATATTTTGCTGCCACATTATAAACTTCAAACTGTTCAAAGTTCAAATTCCTTATCAAGTCTTGATGAGTACAACACCTGTACCACATAAGTGTCTGCTCACATATGAAAATCACATATTGATTTCAACAACTGATCACTCCAGTGTGGAAAAAAAAATACAACTGTTTTCTTGAAATGACCTGGAATTCAGCCAGATGAGTCAATTTAGTCAAAACAGAGTGTCTGGTAGCCTCAGCTTTAATGTCACATGCAACTTACTGTTGAATGAACAACTAAGTTTGACTTCACTCAGACATGGATCTTCTATGAGGGCTTACTGGTTTCTAGAGAATTACATAAAATATAACATAGAGTGTTATGTATTCTTCTGGCAATTAATACTCATTACCTGAAAATTTATTTCTCACAGGAAACAGCTTCATAACATGCCACTGAAATGGGGACAAGGCTGAAAAGCTTTTGGAATGCTAAGTAAGTGTGTTAAACCTTCTATTAGTGTCAGCCATCTAATATTCTAGGAATATGTACTGCCTGATTGAGCAAACTGCATTAAAGGTAATCCCATCTTTCATCCTGTAAGAAAAAAAACTATCAGGTCAGAAATGTTGGACTGGGTCGGAGAGGTCGGTGATAAGAAAGCAATGTAGTGATGAAAACCCTGCTTCTGAAGCACAATAAAATAAAGTGAGTTCACAAAATAACAACTTTCAAGTTACAATGGTTGGACTAGATGATCTCTCAGCACCATTTCTTCACTTTAGATGAGAAAACTGAGGCCCAGAGAGGTAAGGTGGCTTGCCCAAAACTACATAGACAGTTGGTAGAATGGGTTCTATCACTCATTCACTGATTTCCAATCCAGTTTCCACTTGTGGTCCCTAACTGTGACCTGTTATCCACAGCTTCAGTAGGGCATAGCTTCCTGAAAATAAAAAATGGTGTCAGAAGTCTCTAGCCCAGGATAAGTGTGTGTAGAGGGGGGGAGACTAGTTAGGGGAGGCTCGTTAGATGCAAAAGTTTATTGTATAAACCTACTCCACGCATAGCCAGGTAATCAATTCAGCACCTTGGACAGATCCTAGAATGGCGAGAGGGAGAATCGCCAAGGAGCATTTTAATCAGAGCTTGGGGGTTTCATGGTTTGTAGGAGAAAAAAGGTTGGGGGAGTGGGCAAGATGCAAAGAGGAAGGTGCTACTCAATTGATGTTTGACGTAGGACTTGATTTCTAGTTTGACAAAGCTAGGGCGGGCTGGGCTTGCGAGCATTCTTTTTGCAGAGCTGCGATGTCCGTATGAAGGGAGAAAGAGCTGGAACTGAATGCAGGTACCAGCCTTTATTTCATTTTCCACTCTCCCCTCCTCCCCCTCCCCGCATTGAGCTGAAGAGATGCTGCTGTTGCAACAGCAGAAAACGCATAGACCTCAGACCTCTGGAAGGTAATTGCTGAGCCCAGAGATGCCTCTCTGACTAGCCCCTCAACATAGGACAGCTTCTTCCAGCTAGTTTAACAGGGCAGCCCTAGGATTAGTAAGGCTCAAGGCCATCCCGGGAGTGGTCCCTGCAGCAGAGGCCAGCGCTGGACACAAGGCCTCTGGCTTTCTGACCCTGGACCCCTCGCTTCCCTGATATTCAGTATCTAAGGGTTTTCAGACTTGACAGCGGGGGGTGGGGGGGTAGATTTCGCTTTCCACACCTGAGGGTTTCTTAAAAGTGGATTGTAGCCAAACCTCTTTCTCTCACCTCACCATCTTCCCTGACTGGTCATTTGGGACTTAAATCACCGACTCTCCGCAGAAGCTATGCCGCGATCAGAGCGTGGCACAGCTGGATCAGCTGCCTCCGGGTTCACTGCCTAGATAACCTTCCCAAACTTCCTACCGGAGCTTCCTTCCTCTCCTCCCTAAAACACACACACACACACACACACACACACACACAGAGAGAGAGAGAGAGAAAGAGAGAGAGAGAGAGACAGAGAGAGAGAGACAGAGAGAGAGAGAGAGAGAGCAGAAGACACTTCCTGACCGCGAAATGAATTGGCCTTTGAACTTCACCGGCTCCTTTCTCACTCTCCCCTCCCCCTTCCCGACCAATGGGAGCAGCGGCCCTGAGAATCTTAGCCCCAGTCAGCCCCCACTCTCGATCTTTGGCGTGCTCATCCTCACCCTGCTGGGTTTACTGGTGGTGGCGACCTTCACGTGGAACTTGTTGGTCCTGGCCACCATCCTCCGCGTGCGCACCTTCCATCGGGTACCCCACAACCTGGTAGCCTCCATGGCCATCTCTGACGTACTGGTGGCAGCCCTGGTCATGCCCCTGAGTTTGGTGCACGAGTTGTCCGGACGCCGCTGGAAGCTGGGTAGGCGGCTGTGTCAGCTGTGGATCTCCTGCGACGTGCTGTGCTGCACTGCGAGCATCTGGAACGTGACAGCCATCGCCCTGGACCGATACTGGTCTATCACCCGTCATCTAGAGTACACTCTCCGGATTCGCAAGCGCATCTCCAATGTCATGATCACCTTGACCTGGCTGCTCTCAGCAGTCATCTCGCTGGCCCCTCTGCTCTTTGGCTGGGGAGAGACCTACTCGGCGGACAATGAAGAGTGTCAGGTGAGCCGGGAACCATCCTATACCATCTTCTCCACTGTGGGCGCCTTCTACCTTCCCCTCTGCGTGGTGCTCTTTGTTTATTGGAAGATCTACAAAGCTGCCAAGTTCCGCATAGGCTCCAAGAAGACCAACAGCGTCACGCCGGTGCCCGAAGCCGTGGAGGTTGGTGGATTAACAACTTATATTTATGTCCTCCCCTCCCCTTCTCCACACCCCAATTTCTCACCACTTATCCCACAACGTTTAACTTTCCCCCCCAAAACTTGGAACGAGGAGATCACAGAATTAGGGTCCATTTCTGTATGTTGGATCTGTATGTGCTATCCGGCCCATGGCCATATTAAAGACACTTGGGTTCCAGTCTAGCTCTGTCATTAAAAACTCGGTGTGACTTCAGCCAGCAATTTATTTTCTCCTGTTTGGTCATCAGTTAACCTTATCTGTAAAATAGGAAGGTAAAGCTAGACAGTCTCCAATTTATATATATATAACTGCACATCCTTCTAGAATGTCACAAGCAGCTTGCCAATGCTATATATACATACATATATTACATATATACACACACATATATATACATAAATATGTACATATATATACATATATATATAAAATGTTATATATAACCTTACTGCTCTGCTTTGACTTTGGGGGTGGGGGCATGACACACACACCCAAGGTATATTGTGAAAATTAGCCTGGCATAGTGCTAGGAGGCAGGAAAGACCTGTATTCAAATTCTACCTTAAACACTTAGCTGAGTCCCCCCAAAAAAGTCATTATGAAGTTGTTTTCTCATCTGTAAAACTAGCTGTTTCTTCTAACTTTAAAAAATGACAATGAGTAGCACTATTGCTGAGACCCAGAGAGGTGACATGATTTTTCCATGGCCATAAGGGCAGTGAATGTCAGAGTCAAAATTCCAACTCAAATCATTTCCACTACATCAAAGAATTCAGAAATCCTTTGGGGGAGAGAAGGGAGAAAGATGATGGTGCAATGTTTCACAGGAATGTGATGAAGCAAACTGTTCTACAAACCATAATGCACTATCTAAATATGAGATTTAATTATGTTTAAGGTAAAGTAACCTTCTGTACTTGCATCCCTTGGTTTCTATATTATGATTTGCAAGGATTTTTAGTGGTCTTGTAGTTTTCAAGTTGTCTCCTAGGTAACCACTATAGTTTTGCACGGTTTCTTTTCCCCCGAGCTAATGTGAAAGTTATAAACAGCATATTTAATCCTAGGTTCTGTGCTCATTTTCTTTCTGTTCTTTCTACCTTCAATTTTCCTTTTCTGGGACTTCCTCCCCTATTTACAGCACCATCTCTCCACAAGAATATGTCACAACAGTTGCCCACACTGCTTGAGAAGGACATGATGTCTTGCTGAAGGATCTAACAGGCACTAAGAAACTGCCATAGCTTTAACACCAAAGCAAGGCCAAAGACTAGACAAGGAATGCTTGCCTTTGGATTTTTCTCCACAGGTGAAATTTACCTTCAGGGAACTGAAGCTGTCAAAATACCTTCTTGCTGTTTCCTGATGGACTTATTTTAATATTTGATTGAGAAAATTGGGAAAATAAGAGCACTAAATTGGTCACAGCGATGTTCTTGTTCTCTCTCTCTCTCTCTCTCTCTCTCTCTCTCTCTCCCCTCTATTTTCTGTTATCAGTAATCAATTCTAATTTAAAGAGGATCCAAAGTGATATAGGCTCAGGAGTGTAAGTAGACTTTGGAAGAATAGAGTTAAGGGGAAGAAGCCGGTACCTTGAGCAGAGTGAGGCAGGGGGGCACATGCCAAGTTCATTTGGTGTCCTAACCCTAAACATATCTGAACAGAATGACATCATGTTGATGGTCAAGTATGAAATTGAACTCATGGTCAGCACACTTGCATGTGGTCTGCTCCATATGAAAGCATGCATTCTGTACATTGTACACCCTGATTTTGTCAATGCTGACCTGGACACTAAAATGGACCTTCTACAGCATCACTCACTGCTGGTTAAGGGTGGGATGCACAAGTAATCATGGCCCTCTCCCTGACCCTGAATATATTCATTCAAGTGATATTAAATTGAAATGAACATCAAGGGTGGCTTTGAAGGGTAAAGTCACAAAAAGCAACATCTAACCTTGTGAGGGACATGGAAGAGGACATTTTCACATATCTTATCTAGCTAGTTATTATAACTCAAGTATCTCTAACTTCCTTTTAAACATCTTCTTATGGAAGGATCACAAGTAGTCAATAAACAGAGTATTGAATTTGAGTCAAGAGGCTGGTAGGGTTCTCTGGAAAGAGATGACGCTACATCAAAATCCTATATCTGACATTTTATTCCCTGTGATACCTTGAGTTTCCTCATCTATTAAATGAAAAGATAAACTACACAGTGTCTGAGATTCCTTCTAGTTCTAGACCTAAGAACCTCTATGAGGGGCAGGGACTGTGCTACTTGTCTTTGTACCCACAGTGATTGGTTGATCCAATGAACTACCTATTTGACACTGGCTAAGTCTCCTACTTTCTAGGTCTTAGATTCTTCAACTGTAAAATGAGAGAATTGTGCTAGATGACCTCTAAAATGCTCCTGTCCCTAAATCTATGATCCTATGATTAGTTGGAAATTTGTCTCAGGCTGTGTCACAATTTACTTCTGTATGCATTTATTAAGTATCTACTATGTGCTAAACACTAGGGCTATAAAGACAAAAACAGAATCAGTCCTTGACTTCAGGGAGCTTACATTCTACATTCTAACCTCTTAGAATGTCTCTCCTCATTTGTATAATAAAGATAATAAATTTTTGTGTAAGCTCCCTAACTAGCACCAGAAACAAAAACTATGAGGCACCCTGGCCTGTGTCCCCTTTCTGTGGCCTCTGTGTGAAGCAGAGAGCATCTAGAGTGTTTAACAATTTATTGTCGTATTGAACTGAGACTACACGTCTGGGTCTTAGATACCACCCAAGGAATGGGTTTTCTCTTCCTCTCTGTCACTAAGCATAGGCCCTTAACCCAGGGTCCATCAACCCCCTAAGGGAATTTGTAAATGGATTTCAGGAGATTCATGAACCTGAAACTAATAATATTTAAGTATACTTTGGTGCAACTGGCTTCCTTTGTAATCCTATATATTTTATACATTCAAAAACATTCTTTAAAAAAAGGTTCATAGGCTTCATCAGACTGCCAGAAGGGTCCAAGACACAAAAATGGTTAAGAATCCTGTCCTAGAAGTCCAACAGAATTCAAGGTGAAATCCACCAACAGAATTCCCTGATCTCAATTGTAAAGGTATTCCTTTCAAGGTAAATGTGCAGGGAATGACCCAGATGTTGGTTTTTTGTGAGATACCTGGACAAGTAGAACCTAGGCACAAAAGGGAATGTCTAAATAATGTTTCTGTTCATAGAATTAAGTTCCTTGAGGGCAGGGACTGCTTCATTTTTGTCTTTCTATCTGCAACATTTAGCACAGTGCCTGATGCTTAGTAGAGGCTTAAAAAATACTTGTTGATTGATCATTGCAGGTAAAAGAGGCCCTCCACCAACCTCAGATGGTATTCACTGCTCGTCATGCCATGGTGACCTTCCAAACTGATGGGGACACGTGGAGGGAAAAGAAAGAGAAGAAGGCAGCTCTCATGGTGGGCATTCTTATTGGGGTGTTTGTGCTTTGCTGGATCCCATTCTTCATCACTGAGCTCATCAGTCCCTTCAGTTCCTGCAATATCCCTCCCATCTGGAAGAGCATTTTCTTGTGGCTTGGCTATTCCAATTCCTTTTTTAATCCTCTAATCTACACAGCTTTCAATAAGAACTATAATAGTGCCTTTAAGACCTTTTTTTCTAGGCAACGGTGAGAAAAGAGAGGACTGGGAAGAGAGGCTGATGGAACCTTTAATACTTCTCCTACCCCACTGTTTAGTCACAGTGAGGACCTCTGTTCATTAGGAGTCAAGATTATCCTGGGTTTCCAACAAATTCCAGAGATCTTTCCTCATGAAGTTCTGACCTCTTGCAACTCTTCAGTTGGAAACTTAGAAGAAGAAAAGAGCCCTCTCCCACATGCAGGGGGAGGTGGGGCATGGCACACTTCCTATGAAGTACCCTTTCCTTCCTAAGACCCATCCCAGAGTGAGAATGAGTGAGTGAGTGAAAATGGCTAACCGGGATAGTTGCAGTTCGGGACACTAGTTTGTATGTTTCCATTTGCAAGGTTTTTCTTTAGTTACTTTCCTATGGCAGGGGAGAAGCCCAGAAAAGTGCATCAGTCTTAGCAATAGGTGCCACCTCAAAGTGATCAGCCCAGGTGGAAGCCACTAAATTTACCCAGGAGTTTCTGTGCCTTTTAAGGGCCTATATCACTGAGAGACTGTATGCTCTGTTCTGCATATTTACAAAAAAACAAAAACAAAAGACTCACCTGACTTTTCACAGAAACAAGCTGAATCAAATGCTGCCTTTCATTTTGAAGGAACTAATATTCTTCAGAATTTTTTTGGTTGTGAAGGAAAACATTTGTCAAGTGTCTCTTGGTAAACTTGTTTGTCTTGAATTTTTGTGGGTATTTGAATGCAATGCCTTGTGTGTTAAGTACTTGCTTCTTTTGGCCACAGATCCTGCTAGACTCAGGCTTCCTTCCTATTCCACTGTTAAAAAGGAAGGGGGTTGGATATGATTTCTAAGACTTTGGTACTGAAATGGAAGTCAAAAAGTGAGCTTTTATAGGTCAGTCCTGTGAATGGTCCCAGGGGACAACCTGTTTAGCTCAATAATTAGCATTTGGAAAAGATAAATCATGAGTCAATAACATTTATTAAACACATACTAAGTGTTAAGAACTAAGCTAGGCCCTCACAAAAGTGAGTCAAAAAGTTTATATTCCAATAAGGAGAGACAACAAATGTAGCAAAATGCCAGCCAGGGAGCAAGACTTTGGTCTGGGAAATTAAGGGAGAAGTGAGCAGAGCCAAAGGAAAGTTGATGGACAAGTTAATGCTATATACCCTTTTCAGAGCAAAATATGAAAGTCTGAAGAGAGAGGCAGGGAGTGGTACCATCAGAGTGGTTGGCAAGAAGATGGCCATGAGACAGACTTGGTACAAAGTACAGTCTGGACAAAGCTGGATACAGTGGGTTATATGAATGATGAATATTCTTTCTTATTGGGGTCAAAGTGCCTGCCACTTGGCTAAACTCCTTGGGAAGGCTGTCTGTAACCAGGGCTTCCACCTCTTTTCTTCTTTTCTTAACTGTCTGCAGTCTGTAGCCTAGCCTCCAACCTTATTCAACTGTAATCAATGACCTCCAAAGTTATCAATCATCTCTCAATTGCCAAGTCTAATGGTCTTTTCTCAATTCTCATCTTTTCTGAACTCTCTGCTGCCTTTGCAAATACCCATCACCCTCTTCTTTCTGATGCTGTAGTCTCTCTAGGTTTCCACTGACACTACCCTAATCCTGGTTCTTCTACCTGCCAGACCTCTCTTCAATCTCTTTTGCTGGATCTTCCAGGTCACAACCACTGTGTGTTGACCTTCAAGGCACCATCCCAGGCCCTCTTCTCTTTTTCCTCTATACTTTTTTGCTTGATCTTATCAGCTTCCATGGATTCAACTGTCGTTTTTAAGCTAATGATTCTCAGATCTACTTATCCAGTCTTAACTCTTCTCTCAACTCTAGTTTCAAATCTCCTACTCCCTACTGGATATCTCAAACTGAATATTCCACAGACATCTTAAACACAACATATCTGAAACCAAACCCATTATCTATCCTCCCCAGGCCATCCCCTCTCATGAATTAGTCTACTTCTATTACTGTCAAGGGCACTCCCCTCCTCCCAGTCACCCATCCTTACAACCTAGGTGTCACTCTGGACTCCTCACTCCCTCACCCTACCACATCAAATCGGCAGCCAAGGTCTGTCCATTCCAGCTTAGTAACACCTCCTATACATGCCCCCTTCTCTCTTTTGTTACTGCCACCATCCGAGCACATGCCCTTACCTTGTACCTGGATTATTACAATAACCTTCTGTTTGATCTCCCCACATCAAATCTTTCTCCACTCCAGTTCATTCTCCACTCAGCTGTAAAATTGACCTTCCTAAAGCAAGGTAGTGGCTCCCTATTGCTCAGAGAATAAAATATAAAATCCTTTCTTTGACTTTGAAAGCCCTTTATAACCACCTTCCTACCTTTTTCATCTTCTTGTCCTTTGGTTCCCCCTTTCCTCATACTCTTCCATACAGTGACCCTGGTCTTTTTGCTGTTTCTCTCACAATACTCCATCTCCCTGACTCCATGTATTTTGACCAGCTGCCTGCAATTCTCTCCCTCCTCAATTCCTTCAAGTCCCAGCTAAAATCACACCCTCCATGAGAAGCCTTTTCTATTCTCCCTTAATGCTAATGCCTCCCCAAATTGGTATCTCCAATTTGTCTTGTATAGATCTTATTAGCACATAGTTGTCTGCTGTCTCCTCTATCAGAATGAGTTCCTTCAGGGCAAGGACTTTTTGCTTTTCTTTTTATTTCTATCACTTAGGCTGGAACACAGTAGGTACTTAGTAAATGCTTGCTGCTTTTAAACGCTGTGTATAATCTGCACACGTCCTAGGCTAATCGTCTGTGTAGGAAAATAAGACACATCTGACAATGAATAATTCAATGCACCACAGAATTATACAAAACCCAAATATAATGTAAAAACATGAGGGGGGAATAGAGAAAGCACCCCGGATTTAGACCCCAACAAACCCATTTGTAGTGCTCAATTCTGACACTATCCATGTAATTTTAGGCAAATTTCTTCAGTGCTTTAGTTTCCTCCACTCTGAAGTTAGATCTCTTAATAACCTTAGTAAGCTTTAAATCCTATTAGCTTAAGAACCTATACGGCAGGAGCTCTTAATTGTTATTTGTATCATGGACCCTTTCTGGTCCATGACAGTATGGTGAAGGCCGGCTCATGAAGCCTAAGGACATTTGCTCAGAACAATGTCTTTAAATGCATGAAAGAAAATATATATAGGCTGACAAAAGAAACCAATTATATTAAAAAACAAATTCATGGATGCCAGCTTAAGAACGCCTCCTAGGATGGCTTTCCAAGCTTTCAGTGGATTACTACACGTATGACTTATAATCATGGTCAAATCTATAAGAGAAAAAATTCCCAAATTATTCTGTTTACAACTCAAATTATTTTTCTCCTTCCTGCTGCTGAAATTATGCTTGTGTTTAGTTTATGATCACTGTGGCATATGGCAATTCCTTGGGCAAATGGAAGATTTGGGAAGATAGGAACTTCCAGGGAAAGTTTTCTGGTTAACCTCTGCAAAATCCTGCCCTAAACGTAACTGAAAATGTAGGTCTAAACACGGTGAGTTTCCTACCTTAGAGAGACTTGTATAGCTTTAATGTACTGTATTTATTTTAACAACTGGTGCCCCTACACTTCCCTATGGTTCTCTTATTCAGAATAGTAATCTTTGCTGCGTTGTCCCAGATAGGACCTAGAACTAAAACTACTTGCCTTAGATCAGCCTCTGAGGTGTTTCATTGTTTCAATGAGTACCTAATACGAGTTTATTTGCCAACTTACCCTAAAAGCAGTGCATTGAAAACATGACTATGTTTTGCTGTAATGCTATAATGAGTTGTGACATACTATAATGTAAATTAGCAAAAAGATAGTGAAATCTCCAGATGCCATCACTACCACATAGTAAATGGTTTCTCCCCTACCCTGACAAGTGGGAAGGGAAGGAGGAAGGGAATACGTATTTATATAGCACTCACTGTGTGACAGTCACAGTGCTGAGCTTTTTTCAATTTAATTTGATCCCCAAGCCACTAGGTGAGGTAGATGCTCTTATTATCCCCACTTTACAGTTGAGGAAACAGAGGAGAAAAATGGTATTGCTCTAATTTACCCCCTTGTTTACTTCTTTGAAACTAGCTATGGTCTGTATTCATAAGCTAGTTTAACAATTTTCTCATCTGTAAAGGGAGGGCATTTGAACTCAGTTGCCTCTGAGGTCCTCCAATTCTATGGTCCAGTGATCCTTTAGTGGTAGCCAGGTTAGGTTTCATCCCTGGTCCTCTAGGCCCCCCACTGGTTCTTCAGTCACTCAGAGTGTGACTTCCTCTTCATTATCTGTTCATTTATACCCACTGCGGTTTTCTAACTTGTGCTGCTCATGCTTATTTCCCTCTTCTTTCAGTTCATACAGATCTGACCTGGGGTCATGTCTTAATTCTGGGTGCCACATTTTAGCTATAACATGTAAGGATACTCTACAACTCATGAAGTGGATCCCCTAGAAAAGGTTACTCCATGTTTGAGGCATTCTACTTATCCACATCTACTCAAAACCAAAGCCTGTGAATGGCCACTGATGTGTTTACCCAAGTAGGCCAAAGCAGAGGGCATTTCATTAAACAGCCTAGCAAGAAAGGTAGCAATAGGGTACACTCTTCCACAAATACTAGCACTCACATATATGGCCAAAGTTCTCCTCTTGGCCTCTACTGCTGGCTCTGCTACAGGAACCTCTCTCAGTAGCTTGGGCCTTCTCACCCTGAAATAGCCCAGCAGCGGTGCTGCTTGCTCACCCAGGAGTTTTTCTGGGGCCTCCATTTTACAGAAGGAACAAAGGTGGCCTGCCTTCATCCTTCTTCCAACTGTTTCTGACTTTCTGGACTTCACAACTATCTCTCCCCTCTCTCCCCCTTCCTTTTTCAACTCCCTTTTTTTGCCTTCCCCCAAAAGAATGTAAGCTCTTTGCAGGCAGAGACTTTTTTTGCTTATTTGGTATCCCCAACACAATAATCAAAGGTATACAGTAAGTGCTT